CAATGAGGGAAACACTGCATCAATCAAAGAATCTAATGATTTTTCTTTATCAGTGTATGGAATGACCATATCATCAGGGATGCGAATAAAACTTCCGTCCACTGTTTCTTCAACTCCATCACCAACCCGTAATAGAAAGTTTGAGAACCATGGATCAGTAAGTGCTCTCATATTTATTGTTAACCGCAACTTTATAATCGAAGACCAAAGAGGCGACATTCGTAGGCTAGAGTCTACAATTTGTGCTCGTGTCCCACGTCTTACGACTGGCAATACTTGTCTAAAATCGCCTCCCAGAACCATTATCTTTCCACCAAAAGGGAGTGCCACCCCAGTGATATCTTGCATTGTCCGATCAAACGCCTCCACCACCTGTCGCTTTGCCATCGATGCCTCATCCCATATGATTATTTTTGCAAGCCGAAGTAGTTGAGCGGTACCGCTTTGTTTTTGGATTCTACAGAATGAGTTATTATCTGGAGTTAGAGGAAGTTTGAAACGCGAGTGAGCTGTTCTCCCCCAGGCATGTTATTAGCCGCAACACCCGATGAAGCTGTGGCGAGTGCAATATGACCAAGTTTGCGTATATTAGCAAGTAAAGCTTTGTACAGATATGTTTTTCCTGTTCCGCCAGGACCATCTATGAAGAACACTCCTGTACAATCAGTACACACATGCCTCATGATCTCATCATATGCATATTTTTGTTCAGGATTGAGAAACTCTTTGGCACGCAAATGGTCATCTTCCACAATTATAGAGCATTCTTCTTGTACCTCTCGAAAAACTCCAGACTGAAAATTCAAATCGGTGTTTACAGTCGGGAGATCAAAGTTATCAAGCTTGTTACCCATAGACTGTAGGAATACGCTTATGTCTGTAAGGACCATATTTTGTACTCGATTGACATTATCGTATTGTCTACTATAATCTTCGGAGAGAGAATTGTAGTGGGAATTCCATATCTTGCGAACATCTCCAGGATCACAAAAAACTAATATCGTTGCAAACAACCTTCTGAGAGCATTTGGAAACTGAAACAAGGAGGCCTCTACAAGACACTGCGATAAACTATCATCTGTCTCTATTAACCCTCTTTCAAGAGCCGCTTTTCGAAATGTGGGATGTCTTACGTTATTGACTGTGTACAGATCTTCAAAACATGTAGGACCCCTAACATGACATAATAACACACGTAGATAGTATCGCTCACCTTCAGCAGGATTTGCAGAAACCAAACGACCAACTGCTCGTGATACTTTTCGAGGATTCCATAGACGCGATTCTTTATTCCATGTGAAGTGTTTGGGAAAATCTTTGTATAAATATTCTCTTGCATTAACGTTATCTTTATTCATCTTGAAAAATGCAGTCAACATTGATCTCTTATCTTTCTCCCTCTCAACAACTGATTTCATTGCATCATCATCAGTGAACCTAACCAACTGTTGGTTTGGAAGATGCAATTGCAAAGTGATCACATTAGGGTGGATTTGATTAAGAGAAAAGCTAAAAATTCGCCATACTGCTTCTGGAGCGGAGACGTATCGTGCATCCTGAAAACGTTTTATCTCATTGATAACAACAGGTTGTGCATCTGGATCAATATGGATAACTTGCTTGTCGTGACCCTTGTAAATATACTTAAAGATGTATTTCACTGATGTTATACTCGAGCAAACCTCAACATTTAGATGGCAGTTGAACATCATCAACAACTTTGGGTTATATGGGACAACCCATCTATTATCCATCATAATACCTTGTTTATTCACAGCAATTCCATTACCTCTCCTTCGATAAACCGGATATGTGTCCTTTCCTTGTGTTGTGGCTTCGTTGAATTGTCGAGGGTATCTAAAACGACAGGTTGGTGGATCACCTTGCATACAAGAACATTTTTTGTTTAATGTACCACAAGGACCATGTATCATGTGTGATTTGACCAGATCGTGTAGTATAGGATACTTTGTCGGGTTTGGAATTTCGGCACACACATACTTGTCATAATGGTCTGTATTGGTGAGCTTCCATTCAGGTTTCATTATTAAGAGAAAATGAGCATGTGGTAAACCACGTTTCTGGAACTCTATTACATAAACATATGCACTCACCACACCAAGGACGTGCCTCTTCAAGAGTTGTTCCTTAAGGTCATGTAACTTAGCACGAAAAACTCTTGCAACCAGATCTGGTCTATCTTGTGCTGTTTGAAAATGAAGTAACTCATTTTGGATTTCAGGCCAATTCGGATTGCACGTTATTGTAAGGAATATATCAGGTTTCCCTCCATCTTGAACTAAAGCCATAGCATCGAGAAATCGTCGTCGCATGTCACGAGGACCTCCGATGAAACTTGCTGGCAAAACAACACGTTGCCCAATCATACTTGCTTGTACCTCACCGGCATTGACACAATCCACAACACCTTGGTATAACTCCGCTCTTATTGTAGATTGGTTTTTTCTACAAAATTCCAAACGCGAAGTCTCAATCTTGATGTAGATATCTACCACAAATTGTTGTAATAATCTCCCTCCTAACATAATTACGTTCAAGTTTGATCGAATCTGCAACTTGTAACAGTAGTACTCCCGCATAGTTACAGTTTTCCTACCCGTTCTTATATCAGTCTCTACATAATGATTAAATTGAATAAATTATATCAATTTTTACATTTGTAAAATTTAACAATATTAAAATTGTGGCTATGCGTACCTTCTAGATCTTCATCGAAGATTTGGTCGTCATTAACCATCTCATTGAATGAAACCCCTTGCCTTAGTATGTTAGAATGCCATCCAGGCTCACCATTTGGAAAGAATAAAGGATAACACAATGGGTCATAACATCCCCAATAAGATTGAATTGTTTTTGGTTTGTCGGACCTTCCATATACTATAATACTTCTTTTATATGCGGTTATGTTGTCATTGCCTTCAATCCAAATACCAGCAACCTGTGAAATTATACAATAGAAAAAATATGATTAAAACTGGTACGTAATTTGCATAGTTATATTTAATACATGAAACATCTTTTTTCTCAAAAACATATGTACATAATTAATTTCAAACCTCGGATGTGGTTGGCCGGTTGTACACCCTTTGGTCTAGTTCTACTGATGCATTTAAAGTGACTCTGTAATTGTCGAGCGGTCCTAGATCAGCAAGGCTACGAAATATTGCAACGTATGGGTTTGTAGCAAGAACGCGAGTCAAAATTTCAACAATTGGTTTAGCAAGATTCTTCCATTCGAGTCTATTTGACATCTCAGCTTCAACATCGTAAAAATACAATTGTAAGAACTTAGGTTCATCCTTTTTCCTTGGAACTAACTGATCGATTCTATGGTATATCCCTCCATTCACACAAAAAGTGTATACCCCAGATGTCATATTGGCCATCGATTCATCCACTTCTACGCCCATTGATGCAAATGAATAGTTGGTGTTGTATGCACGTATATTCTTTCTAAACAATTTGCCTAATTTTGTTTCTGAGGTGAAAAGATTGTGTAATTCGTCAGGAATAGATGAGTCTGCCAACTTTGTCTTTCCACTCATGCAACAAAAGCCAGCAGATTCAAATTGTAGTCGTTTTGCCCCACAATAACTACATATATCATTGAACTTCACCACACGATGTTTTTTACGGATACCGGCGAAAACAAAACTATATGGATCATCCGAGATGCTACCATTTTGTACTGATGGAGTGACATTGCCATGGATACAACCTTGTGGATCTGTAGACATTTTATTCATTAGTTAAATGTAATATAAATAAAATTAAAATAATTACACATAATTATTAGCCAATATATATGATATTTTTCGGTAAAAATCAAATACTGACCTATTGATGTTGAAATTTGAGTTATCAATTCATCGCGTGGAGGTAGTATTACGTCAGGCTGACTTTGAAATGCGAATGAACTCAAAGACGGATGGATGCAAGATGCGAAGAACTTGAATGAAAATGCGAAGTTTTTAATGTATAAATGCGAATTGGGGAAGAAAGCTAAGAGTTTCGCATTTGGCCCCTGATCTTTTCAAGAAATAATATAAGTGGTCCAACTACAGGGATGCGAAATGAAAATTCTGCACTTGTCTTTTTATGACCCCATTTTGCGAAGTTGGACCACTTATATTATTTCTTGAAAAGATCAGGTGCCAAATGCGAAACTCTTACTTTCTTCCCCAATTCGCATTTATACATTAAAAACTTCGCATTTTCATTCAAGTTCTTCGCATCTTGCATCCATCCGTCTTTGAGTTCATTCGCATTTCATCGCATTAACTGAGAAATTAATCAGTTGTCTCATATTCGCATTTCAGTTGTTTGAGAAACCCAGATACG